TACCCTGCGATGATCTTCTAACTCAGGTCCCCATTTCCAAAAAGTCACCTATTTTGATTCTCCTTAAGAGTTTTGGAGTGTTTCTTTTCCCCCTGCCCTCCTTGTTACTTCTGCCCATAGTTTTTGAACTTTGGCCTACTAAAGAACACCATGAGGTCTTTACAGGTTTTACTCAAAGACCTTTCTGGTAGATCATTTGCCCAGGTAGGTTTCCTTGAGTTTTGTACCACTTATTCCATTCTTTTATTTTATTTCACATATTATAGGGGTCAAAATGTTAGGTTACTGTGTTGCGCCCGCCCCTTCCTCACCACACGCTGAGTCAGAGCTTCTGTTTATTCCATTCTTATGTCACCCTGTCTTAGGATTCAGAGTCTTGGGAGAGAGAGTCAGATTGTCTGGCTTGGATCAGGTCCCTGTTTACTGCTCCTGGAGGAGCTGAGTCCTTGACTGGACAGTCCTTCAGTCCATAAGGAGACCCTTGCTGCAGGGTGCAGGTGTGGGTGCTGGGCAGCCTAAATGAAACTACTGTATACGTGTGAAAAGATTAGGAAGTCAAAAGGGCTCCACACCTTAACCCTTCCTGGCCCTCACTTGGAGAAGATAAAGTTATCCATGATGTATCTTTGACTAAACAAAAATGATTTATCTATATGAACCCTGCCTTGCCATCTAACCTGAACTTCCTAGGGATTTGCAGAGCGGGTCTTCATTGTAAAATTCATGTCATTATGCAATTTCAGCACCCTCAACACCCACACAGTGACCATGGTTCCATTTATGCTGCCCACCACCCACACCTGCTCCTTCAGCAAAGTGTCCCCTGCTAGACTAAAGGACTGTCAGTCAAAGATCTCAGCTCTTGCCAGAGCAGTAAACATGTGCCTGATCCAAGGCAAGACATTCTGACCCTCTCTCCCAGGCCTGAATCCTAAGAAAGCTGACACAAGGAGGAATAAACAAAGCTGAGAGCTCATTCATCCCAGCATCTGTGCCCTTCCAAGTCTACCAGGAATGCCTAAACTTGATCCTCCAGATTCCTCTAATGTGCGAGTCTCTCCAAAGGCCTCCCTGTTGTGTAAGTGAACTAGAGTCAGGCTCTTTTGCTTATATACACAAAGCTGTTAATGTACAGCATATCGCAGGCTTAGCTTTTTGTCACATACATGCTGCTATTCCCCTAGCCGGGGCCACCACACAGCTCTCAGAGCCCCCTGACCTGGCATCACCACCTATGGTGCCCCACCTCAATCTGCTGTCCTCACCTCAGAGCTGTCTGGCAGTCTTTTGCTCTCTCTGTTCAGTCCCCTTCCCATCTCTAAATTGGTTGTTCCTAGCTGACTACACTCCTCAAATCTAGATGTGTCCATCAGCAGTGGCCTAGAACACTATCTAATGCACAGAAAACCACCAATATAATCTTCCTTAATACCTACTTCTCTAGCTTAATTTAATCTTCACCTTACTTTTTCCAGACACAAAGAAAGGGTTGCCTGTCCTCTTTTTCCAGAGGCTCACTCCTCTGGCTCCAGCTACTCTGCAACATAGATACTATCAATTATCTCTTCTTCCAAATCTCTCTTTCTCAATTGCTTCCTCTTCTCAGTTACAAAGCTTTGAAGTCATCCTTATTTTAGGAGGTCCTTTACCATCATCCTGCCCGCCAGCTAACTCTCCCAGCTCACCTCCTCACGCTTCTTCATTGCCCCCATCTCTGCTTCCAGAACATCTAGACCATTACAGTCAGATTGGCTCCCTCCAATCCCACCCAGTTCCAGGGAAATGGACTCTCACGAAAGTCACCAGGTCGCTTGCAAAAGGCTGAATCCTAATAGTTCTTGTTTCAGTCCTCACTACAAGTGACAATGTCATTGACACTGCTAGCTGTCTCCAAAATTAAAATCTTTGGCCTTTCTTTTAAAAGAGAATCCCCCAACATTTCCATGCTCCCTTCGTAGCTAGATGTGGTCCACATGAGGAAGTTCTGGCCAATGGTATGTGAGGCAGAAGTGATGAGCACAACATTTGGGACATGTCTTTAAAGGAAGGGGTGTGTCTCCACGTTCCCTTTCCTCTTGTTGCTGGCTGGATGTAGGGATTGGTCTGGTGAGCCACACTGGCCACCATTTGGGCCATGGGGATGGACCTACACCGCTGGGGATGTGGATGAAAGAAGACAAAGGACCAAGGCCAGATGACCTTCGTGGAACACCAGGGGGCCCTACCTGCTGGCCTGCTCATAGCTCAGAGAAGCTAACATTTGGCTCGAGGTCACAAAGCTAGAAAAAGACAGAGCTAGGCTAAGACTCAGGTCAACTTAGTACTCTTTTCATAGCTATTGGTAAAGTATAAATGGTTCTGGAGGGTGAGCTCTAACAGCCTCTGTTTCCATGGGCCCATGGTAACTTCTGTCTATCAGGTTTCAATTTAACCGCCAATAACTGAGCTCTGTAAAGTCTAGTATTTCTAGGAGCTCAATTTGCACATACCTTGTTTGGGATTGTCTTTCTCCTCCTGAAGCGCTAAAACTTCTCTTTAAAATGCCTGCAACAAGAAAATAAAAGTAACTTTACATTATTTCCTCGGAAAATCCTTTATTTTATTGAAAAAAAAAACAATGCTGAACAACAAATGCTGATAAGGATGTGGAGAAAGGGGAACTCTTACACACTGTTGGTGGGAATATAAATTAGCATGGCCATTATGGAAAACATTATGGAAGTTCTTCAAAAAACTAAAAAATAGAACTACCATATGATCCAGCAATCCCACTATTATGTATATATTCAAAGGAAAGGGAGTAAGTATGTCAAAAAGATATCTGCACTCCCATGTTTACTGTAGCACTATTCACAATAACCAAGATACAAAATCGGCCTAAGTGTCCATTAACAAATGAATGGAGAAAGAAAAAGTGTATATATACACAATGGAATACTTTTTAGCCATAATAAGAATGAAATCCTGTTATTTGCAGCAACATGGATGGATCTAGAGGGCATTATGTTTAATGAAATAAAACCAGCACAGAAAGACAAATACTTCGTGTTCTCACTCATATGTGGAAGCTAAAAAAGTTGATCTCATGGAGGTAGAGGGTAGAATAATGGTTATCAGAGTCTGAAAGGGAAGGAGGAAAGGACAATGAAGAAAGGTTGGTTAATGGTTACAAATATACAGATAGAAAGAATAAGTTCCAGTGTTTGACAGATCATTAGGTAACTATAGTTAATAATAACTTATTGTATATTTCAAAATAGCTAGAAAGAAGATGAGGAATGTTCCCAAACAAAAATGATAAATATTTGAGGTGCTAGATATCCTAATTACTCTGATTTAATAATTACACATTATATGCTTGTATCAAAATATCACATGTACCCCATAAATATGTACAAATATTAGGTATCAATAAAATATTTTATAAAAAAATAAATTTTTAAAAATTCAAAAAAAGGAGATATATATTCAGTGAATGGCTTGGTCTGTAAATGCCCACGATGTTGCTCTAAGGCAGGGGTTATTTTCTTGTAAAGGGCCTGGTAGGAAATTTCAGGCTTTGCAAGCCATGTGGTCTCTGTCCAACAGAACTCTGCGCCCTTGTAAAGTGAAAGTGGTCAAACCAATATGTAAGGAAAAACATGGTTTATTCATGGCAAAAACAAACAAAAATAATGCTGAATTTCTGTCACCTCAGCAACTGTACATAGTGCAAGTAACCTTGTTTATGAAAGCAACAGCTAAAAGAAATGTTACATATTACTATTTCTTGACAAGTTTTTATTTAAGCTCTTTCTCAAAGAAAATGTGCTAAACAAACAAAAAATTCCATATTAAATCTAACAAAGCACATAAAATTATCTATGTCATAATCTTTCCTAAGCAGCTATAAATTACCACATGCAATTTCTCCTTTCACTCCCTCTGACCTCCCACCATTGTCACCAGGAATGTACAACACTGGAACTCATCTCAAAATAGTAATGAACTTCTTCTAGAATTTGCTGTGCATGTTATATACACGATATTTTCCTGTTTTATATTCATATTTTCCCAATCTCAAATCAAGACATTTTATCTAACAACAGGAATTTACAAGAAATAGGACAGAAGTGTTGGAAACTGGGATTGTCCAAAAATCTGGACTATCTAGTCACTATTTGATGGATCAATAAGTTGAAAGGCAAAGAACATAGTAAATCTTTAACATTCTACTTTGATTCTTGGACTAACTTTAAACTTTCTTTTATGAGATTCATCAGTTTAGTCACTGAGAAGAAAGAATTATTACACTTAATTTATTTCAGAGTATTTCTATCTATAGTTTTTAATATTTAATCACTTATCTCTTTAAAATATTCTTTCTCTCCATTTCCTATTTTAACTACTCTTTTTTCAGTTCAGATGACGTTGAGTGCATTTGATTCTATCTTTCATCACAGTCTTTAAATTTTATCTTTTACGTTTTTTTTCTTCCCTACCCAGTATGACCATTTTCTTTACTGTTTTGAATTAAGAGTCAAGAGTAACTCATGACTGAATTTATATATCATTTTTATAGTTCTAAAATATCAAAATTTCTTTATTTTGCATTTATATACCCTTTACATTAATGTAAATAAAATTGTACAAAAATAGTCCACACCAAGCTAATTTCTTCTACAGGCTCTAATCCCTCTGACCAACAGACCCATAAAAGGTCACTTGCATTGTCCTATGTTAGTTAGCTGTCTTCAAATTAGTTATCTCAACTCCCCAGTTAGAACCTGCATTTGCCGTAGAAATAATGAAACTATGCATTTGATAGCTAAGGAATGCAAACCCACTGTGCGTCTGGCCTTTGGGCTCTGTCATAGGAGATAGACACACCTGTCTTAATTAGCATTACACCTGGAAAAAAACAACTGTTATATATATGGTGATACTTGCTTGACTCAGGTATGATTCCCAAACCACTACCTGCCAGAATCCCACAAATAGCAAACTTATAAATAAGTTACTGAAGGTAGATTCTTTCAGGGCTTGAACTGGAGCTGCTGGAGTTATCCGAAATGTCCAATTCATCATCTAGTCTGAATATATTCTGCACATTAATAGAACAATAAAAAGCAAATGAACCTTGAAACAGAAAGGAGTCAGAGTGCATTCATGCTGAAACCCTTTCATAGAAGTACCTTTCTCAATGTTTTCCAGGTTGAGTTATCATCTGACAGGATTTCATCACAGGCCCTGTCTTCTCCTTACCACTGGGAGCCTGGAAGCCTTCAGGGGGCAGGGTCGCACTTTCTGAAAGTTTCACTTTTCAGGCTGGTGCTCCACTGCTGCTGCTACTCAAGCTTGCTTCTCAAAGGTTCCTGAAAGAGATTTAATTTTTAATAGTCTCTTTCTCTTTCCTTCTGTAGGACCCAAAGCCTGTCAAAACTTGTGTTAAATGTCAAAATACCGTTATAAATATTTATGCAGAAGTGCATCAGTAGTTCCTACTATATACCTGATATGAACTTATTCATTCATAAACACAAAAAAGTAGGTCTACAAGTAGCATTGGACAAAGAAGAATGGAGGTGACAACAGTGCTCAGTAGCAAAGGCCTAGAATCCAGTGGGGGAAAGGGATGTAATTCTATGAAATAGAGTATGTATCAATTTAGCAGAAATTTTAGAAATTTATTTTTTTCTAAATATCTGGTATCAAAGCCTGTCAGCAGTATAGTAGATAAATTAGGCTTATTTTCTTCAAACTCAAGGGAAATTAGTAGCAGACAAAGCCAGGAGATGGAGAGTGAGAGGTGACGTCCTCTACAAGATGAAGAGCTGCAGCGAAGAGGACTTCCGAACCATCAGGACTCCACACTGTTGCCTGGCTTGAACACTCTAAAAACTAAGCCATGGGCTCCTCGGAATCCTCTAAAACTGATAGAAGCATTTCTATTATGATAGCACCACAAAGTCATCCATTTGGATGTGTGATTCCACATCTCTCTAAATGGTATTATTGGAACTGCAAAAATTATGTCTCAATAAAGATTTAAAAAAAAAATCTTAATGCCATTGAATGCTGGAACCTTTGATTTTTCTAAGAAAAAAAAACAGTGGAAGGAATGACATTGATATAACAGAGAAGTACCCCTGTTTCTTTACCAAGTAATTCTTAATACCTAAGACATTCATTGTGTCCATTTGTAGCAGGTGTAAAGAACCTTCTCAGGCTGTGGGGCTAACAGTGCTGACAACCTAAGCTACAATCAGGTGGACAAAAGACAAAGGCAGAAAGGCCATGAAGGAGGAAAGGATAAAACAGAGTGCCAAGAAAACAAAACAAAACAGGGGCACATTTTTCAGATTTTTGAGGTTATGTGTTATGGCTGTTGGTCACACACATGTGCTCAGAGTTAACCTCTTTAAATTAAAAAAAAAAAAAAAAAAGGCAAAAGTCTGCATTATTGAAGGGAAAAGAATTCCCCTGTGAATTGTGTCAGGTTAGTCACAAATTACCCTTTCTTGATTAAAAGACTCCAATGATAAAAGATGCCCATTTGAGAGACAGGTTTGTGTTTATTTATTTCAGATATTTTTCCTACAATTAAAATGACACCCACAGCTTCAAGGGGTAGGTCTTTAAAAACCCCATGGTGGTAGAATTTGCAGATGAAGAAAACCTAAAACCTTATGGATAACTAAAGTCAGAAGTAAACCTCTGAAAGCTTTCATGTGTTTATGTTCTCTAAACAAGATGAAAAGATTAAAAAATCAAAAACATTTTAGTACTGCAAACAGTCCAAATCAATCCTGTTTATTATTACTTTTCCCTGAGAAACTTTCAGTGTTCCTTTCCTCATAGTTTCCTCAAGTTCCTTGCTCTGTTGAAGCTAAAATCAGTTAAGGAACTGTTTAACTTAGTTTTCTGTGAATAGTCCTCCATCCAATGTTCAAGTCTGCTTTTATGACTGTGAATTGTTCATCTGCTTTCTTAGGCCCACCTTGGTCTGCTTACTTAGAATCTGAGATGAGAAATACTTTGGCAACTCTATGACAGAGCTGTGCGTTTGTTGCTCAGAAATGTTTCAATATATGGACTTCTATGCTTAGCCTCAGTTCTGCCCACACCTGACCCTGATACCAAACTCAGGACCTCCTTCTAAGGCCTCCAAACTTACTGTAAAACCCACTCAACTTCTTTATGTCTCCCTTTTCTCTTTCCCAAGCCACAGACTCATTCTTCCTCTAACTACATCCAATTGAAGTAATTAGGGATTTATTAATACATGGAAATAAACATCTAATTTAGGGCCTTCTCCTTATGCTTTTAAATCCTAAATAAGTATCTCCTGCCTAGTCTAAAGACCATAGCTGACATTTACAACCTTCTAAGGACATTGCATCCAAGAGATGTCGGATGCTATCTAGGGGTGAAAAAGATTGAGAATTTGAGTTGAGAAAACTTTTTTTTTTCTTGCATTGATGCAATTAAGATACTGGAATCCTATAAGGTCAGTATCACCCTAATACCAAAATCATACAAAGACACAACAAAAAGAAAACTTTAGACCAATATTCCTGATAAATGTAGATGCGAAAATCCTCAACTAAATATCAGCAAACTGAATCCAACAGCACATCAAAAAGATAATAAACCATGATCAAGTGGGTTTTATTCCAGTGATGCAAGGATGGCTCAACATTTGCAAATCAATAAATGTGATAGATCACATGAACAGAAATAAGGAAAAAAGCATATAATTATGTCAATAGACACAAAAAAGCAATCGATAAAACTCAACATCCCTTCATGATAAAACTCAACAAACTAGGCACTGAAGAAACATACCTCAAAACAATAAGGGCCAAATATGACAAACCCACAGCCAACATCAAACTGAATGCAGAAAAGTTGAGAACATTTCTTTAAGATCCGGAACAAGACAAGGAGGGCTACTTTCACCACTCTTATTCAGTTATAGTACTAGAAGTCATAGCCAGAGCAATCAGGCAAGAGAAAGAAATAAAAGGCATCCAAATTATAAAAGAAGAAGTTAAATTATCCCTGTTTATAGTGATATGATCTCATACCTAGAAAAACCTACAAACTCCACCAAAAATCTCTCAGATTTTATAAATGATTTTGGTAAAGTTGTAGGATACAAAATTAATGTACAAAAATCAGTAGCATTTCTATATGCCAATAATGTTCTAGATAAGAACAAAATCAAGAAGGCAATCCTATCTACAACAGCTAAAAAATAAAATAAAATACCTAGGAATGTATTTAACCAAGGGGGTAAAAGATCTCTATAAGGAAAAATACAAACTACTGATGAAAGAAATTGTAGATGATATAAACAAATGGCAAAATATCCCATACTCATGGATCAGAAGAATGAATATTGTTAAAATGACTATACTAGAGATTCGATGCTATCTAGAGATTCAATGCAATCTCTGTCAAAGCAATCTAGAGATTCAATGCACTCCCCATCAAAATATCAATGTCATTTTTCACAGAATCAGAAAAAAACATTCTAAAATTCATATGGAACCAAAAAAGAGCCCAAATTGCCAAAGAAATCCAAAGCAAAAAGAACAAAGTTGGAGGCATCACATTACCTAACTTCAAATTATACTATAAGGCCATAGTAACCAAAACAGTATGGTACTGTTATAAAAATAGACACAGAGATCAATAGTGAATAGTGACACATAGGTCAATGGAACAGAATAGTAAAGCCACATACTTACAGCCAACTGATCTTTGACAAAGTCAGCATGAACATACATTGGGGAAAGGATACCCTTTTCAATAAATGGTGCTGGAAAAATTGGATTATTGCCATATGCAGAAGAATGAAACTGAACCTTATCTCTTACCATATACAAAAATCCACTCAAGATGGATTAAAGACTAAAATTTAAGACCTGAAACTATAAAAAATACTACAAAAACCTAGGGAAAATCCTCCTGTGCATTGGTCTAGGAATAGAATTTATAACTGAGATATCAAAAGTACAAACAACAAAAACAAAAATAGACAAATAGAACTTAAACTAAAAAACTTCTGCACAGCAAAAGAAACAATCAACAGAGTGAACAGACAACTTGAAGAATGGGAGAAAATATTTGCAAACTATGCATCCAACAAAGGACTAATGCCCAGAATCTGCAAGGAACTAAAAAAACTCAATAACAATAACAAAATTATCTCATTAAGAAGTGGGCAAAAAATATGAATAGACATTTTTCAAAAGAAGAAATAAAAATGGCCAACAGGTATATGAACAAATGTTTGACATTACTAATCATCAGAGAAATGCAAATTAAAGCCACACTGAAATCTCCTCTTACCCTAGTCAGAATGGCTATAATTAAAAGGGTAAAAAATACCAGATATTGGCAAGGATGAAGAGAAAAGGGAACTCTTATACACTGTTGGTGGGCAAAGTAAATTAGTACAACCTCTATGGAAAACAGTATAAAGATTTCTCAAAGAACTAAAAATAGAACTACCATCTTATCCAGCATTCTCACTAGTGGGTATCTACCCAATGAAAAAGAAATCCATATATCAAAAAGATACTTGCATTCATATGTTTATTACAGCAATATTCACATTAGTGAAGAAATGAAATCAACCTAAGTGTCCATCAACAGATGACTAGATAAAGAAAATGTGGTGTATACACAAAGGAATACTATTCAGCCATAAAAAGAATGAAATATGTCTTTTGCAGTAGTAACAGGCTGGAGGTCATTATCTTAAGTAAAAGAAGTCAGACACAGAAAGACAAATATCACATGCTCTTACTCCTAAGTGGGAGCTAAATAATGTGTACCCATAGACATAGACAGTACAGTGATAGACAATGGAGGCCTGGAAGAGTGAGGGGGTGGGAGAGGGTTGGATGATGAGAAATTACCCAATGGGTACAATGTAAGCTGTTCATGTGATCCATACTCTAAAAGCCCTGAATTGACCACTATGTAATATATGCACGTAACAAAATCATACTTGTACCCCA